GGGGCATTTATTGTTTTTTGTCGAAAATCCCCCTGTAGGGGGACACGCCCGACCGAAGGCCAGGCCCGTCCAGGACTCAGGACAACCTTCTGAGTCCCGTCGGCGCCTGGTCCCGCTCGGCCGCCGAGCGGACGCAACATCGAACCCGTTCGGCGGCCGTAGGGGTCCGTTCGGCGGCCGTAGGGGCCGAACGGAGCCAGCTCGGCTGCTCAGCCGGCGGCCGGAGAGGCCCAAACGCGGCAGGGGCTCTTCGAGGGGAACCGTGGGGCCTCCTGCCGGGGAGACGTAGGACTCGGGCCAGCGTTAAGTCAGGCGTGTCCCCCAGCCAGGGGGATTTTCGACGAAGAATTAAAAATACCCCAGCAATACCATAAAAATGCTCAACAATGGTAAAAAATAGTCCCCAAAGAATGTGTGTTGACAATTTTTGAATATTCCCCCTGTAGAGGGACGGGCTCGACTTACGGCCAGGGGGACTCGGGTTGGCCCAACGGGGCCATCATGAAAATGGCGCGACAGAGTCTGGAAAGTGACCCTGGCTCACGCTGCAGACACCCCACGAAAACCCGGCCGTTAAAATCCATGACGCTCCCGTCAAAAAGCGCCGACAAACCCGAGCTCCAGCACACACGAGTCTTACGTTCCCCCGATCCTAGGCTTAGGTCGGGCATGTCCCCCTGCAAGGGGTTTTGCAAAACAACAAAACAAACATATTCAAAACATGTAGAACATACGGAAACAGTGTCCCCATATTATTGTTATGCTTTTTTGAGAGTTCCTCCTGTAAAGGGACAGGCCCGCCTTAATCCTAGGCCGAAGATCGGCCTGGTCTGATCGAGCCACTCAGGTCATGGTAGTGGTGGTATGAGTTGGGATGTAGGCAAACGGCCCTGGATTTAGAAAATCCGCTCTTGAATTTAGTAGACAGCTTTCTGCGTTGACTAAATGATGTTTTGTGTTGCTTTGATTTCGCGGCGCAATGTGATGAATCCGTTTCGCGCTCTAGTACATCATCGCTTTCTCCACATGTTTTATTTATATTTTTTTATGAGCGCGCGCCCACTCATTACCACGACCTCTGCTAGCCAGTGGTGGTCGAGATCGGCACATGTGTGTACGGTCTGCGCCCTCCGTGCCTTCGGAGGCCTTCCGCGCCGCGTCGGCCGCGACGCAGCTGGCGCCAGAGAAGGCCCGGCGGACCACCCTGACGAGGACGAACGTCAGGAGGGGACCGGCCCCGCAGGAGCGGCCGCGGAGGACCGGAGGAGGCCCAGATCGGAGGAGGAGGAGGAGGCCCCGATCGGAGGAGGAGGCCCAGATCTCAGGCGGAGGTGGAGGGAGGAGGAGGCCCGCAGAGGCGGAGGGAGGAGGGCCCGCCGCGGAGGGAGGAGGAGGAGGCCCAGATCGGAGGAGGAGGAAGCCCAGATCGGAGGAGGAGGCCCAGATCGGATCGAGCTGGAATCGGCGATTCATCGTCGATAGATCGGCGATCGGCCACAGATAACAAATCCGCACTTTCCTGGGCGAGGTGGACCATCGGGGCCCTATCGGCGATCAGTGGGCGATCGGGGGTCCATACATCCCCCCCTGAGCCTATCCCCCCCTGACGTTGCCCCTGACCTGAAGAGCCAGAGGCGGTGCTCGTAGTTCTGGGTGTCTCCAGACAGGAGGAGCTTGTAAAATAGGGGGGTGTCTGACAGCACCAAGGCCGCGCGCCCGCAGAAGAAGTGGGCGACCTGCGTGTGCAAGGAGTGCTGCGGGTGCATCAGCACCTGCACGCACGAGCACAGGAACGATGCTATCAGCCTGGCAGGCGTCCCCAAACCAAGAACTCCGATGCCGTGGTTCTTCTGCAACGTGGTCACCCAGAGGTCTTGATCTCTTCCCTGGGGACGCTTTCAATCTCGAGTCGTGTTTCGACTGCCCCGTGAGGCCCAGCGAGGCCCCCCGGATAGGCCGAACATTGCCACATCCCTCTGCCGTGCTTTTTCGCAGCGCGAGGAAGTCTGGGAAGGTGTCCCTGGTTCAAAGAGTTCCCATGGCTTGCCATCGCTTGGGCGCCCAATCCCCGTGCATGTTGCGGCTTCGTGTGCTTTTGCTGCTCGATGGTGCAGGATGCTCCTCGATGGTCCTCGCCGAAGCACGTGCACACGTCAAAGGGCGATGCCAAGTCCAGGGAGGCCCCAGCACCTCCAGAACCTGAGCGACGCCCTTTGTGGGCCCCGGAAACGGCAGGGCCGTTTCTTCACCGTTTCCGAAAAATGCTCCTTGAACATGGAAGCGGCAAAAAAAACGGCGACTGGAAACGGCAAAAAACGGCTCCAAGATTGGAACCGGAGACGGAACCGGTCAAAAAACGGCGACGGAACCAATAAAAAACGGCGCCAGAACCAGCAAAAAAACGGCAAAACGGAACCTGTAAAAAAACGGCCCTGTCGTTTCCAGGGCCCACTAAGGGAGGGAGGTATCGGGGGAAGGGTTCTTGGAAAAGGCTGCGCGGGCCTTGTCTGTAGATGCAAGGCCCCCGCCTTCTACGAAGCAGCCCCCTTCTAAGAAAGCCTTCCGTACCCCCCTCTGCGCGCCGCCAAAGATGGGGTCGGAGGGTCGCGCCTCATCGCCGATGCATCGCCGATGCATCGGCGCTGCATTGGCGCGTGCGTTGGCGATGCATCGGCTCCGTTGCTGTGGAGAATAGCGGGCTCCACATGGCGGGTCCCACACATGCTGCCACCCCACGGGAGTGCATGTTTTTACTTCCGCAGGCTGTCGCCGGCCATCAGCCTGCGGAGGTAGTCTCTTGCGCTTTCCGCCGCCTTCCGCCGACGACGAGATGCCAACTCCTTCGGTCCTCAAAGGCGAGGCCCTCGCGGGAACTCGCCAGTGACATCGAGCCGCGCTTCTTGTGCATCGGCGATGCTCGGAAGCTGAGCGAGGGCTGGCAAATCCGTGGCTGCTAAAACGGTCTTCCCAGAGGGATAAAAACACATTCCCATGATAACAATCAGCGCGGGATAGTAAGCGGGCTGCTTCCTGGAAGAAAACACTATGTCCTGGAGCTCCGTTTTAGCAGCCACGGGTTTGCCGGCCTTCGCCTGGCCCCCGAGAAGCGGCGGCTACCTCGGCCGGCGGAAGCCTGAGGAAGTAAAACATACACGCCCATGATATGACAACATCTTGATTTTCAGGGTTTGCGGAACCAGCCATGTGGAGCCCGATATTCTCCATGCCAACGGAGCCGATGCATCGCCGACGTCGCCGGTGCAGCGCCGATGCATCGGCGATGCATTGGCGATGCGGCGCGACCCTCCGACTCCTGGCGGCGCGCGGGAGTGGGGAACGCTTTCAGAAGGGGGCTGCTTCTTAGAAGGCGGGGGCCTTACATCTGCAGACAACGCCCGCGCCCTCCACGAAGCAGCCTCCCTCTAAGAAGCTTTTCCCCCTCCCCATACCCAGACATGCGACGACTGGATTTTGTTCCCGTGCGTCCCGACCCATTCCCTGGGGACCTTTTTTTTGTATCCCGCGAGCCGTTATTGTTG